CTCATGAATTATTAATGAGTTTGATAATAAACTTTAAAAACTTCTAAAAATCTAATATAACATGAAAAGTGCCACATTCTCTTTATATTCAAATTATATATTGAGATTCCAGACCAAGCCAAATGCTATTTCTGCTTGTTGTTATATCTAGCTTGAATCTAGTTGATTTTTTTTAGAAAACACTTTCTTGCAAACACTGTCAATAGTAGGAGCTGAGCTTAGCCTTATTACCACTTAATCCCTACAATACTGTTTCCCTTTGTTTTTGTTTTTTAATTATACAATAATGGACCATTCCATCCTCTTGAAACAACTRTTATCAGAGTCCTTGATATATTTTTGTTGTTTTTCCTCAAAGGACTTAATTAAGTAAAGAGTGACAATAAAGTTGTTACCAATAAAGGGACTTGGTAGCTACTGTAAACTTGTGCTGAATACTTAAAAATTTACTGTTTACTGCAGTAATAAATGAGCAGAAGTGTTTTATCAGGTTAATAAATCACAAGGCATAGCTGAGTGGCTTTAGATCTGTAATAAAACATGGTCTGTAAGTTTATTATAAACAATTCCAAAATTCCTGAATAATGCTAAGCTTTTGCTTCAATTTATTATGTAAGAGTGACCACACTTAAAAAACATGGTCCAACTGTATAATTTGATTGTATGCCACTTTCATGTCAGTCAGCCCAAAACKGCTCAAACGAGTTGAAAACAGCATGCCAAACTCAACRCAAGCAAGCTAGCTACAGTAGTCCATTAACTTTGGTGGGTTGTTGGTGATGTTATCTGATATAAACTAAGAACACTTAATGGAGCAGCRTTGGTGCTGTGGCTAGATTTACTGACTTTGATGTGGAAGGTTGGGGTTCAATTCCCTGCTGAGGCACATTAAAATCAAGGTATAAAAAACCTGGCTTTCTACATTGTACATTATTGTGCACTAAAATCCCTCAGATGACCACATTAAAAAGCAGAAGTTCCTGTCTCTGTAAAAAAATAGGGGACATTAATTAAAGTGCCACTACAATCAAATTGCAATGTCTCCAATTTCTACTATTTACACACGTTCAAGTACTATACGGTTCTTCAATATAGATTTCAGTATGTTTCTGAGAGTATTTGATTAATGTCATTCAAACCCTAATYGAAGTATGCTTGTACTCAAACCAAGAAACATGAAAATGCAAAAACGGTGGTTGCTTTAATGGCAACTAACTGGTTCCCAGGCCCCAAACAATGTTTCTTGCTTTTAAGCAACTGCCTTGGTTTTTTTTAACTTGAGCAGAAAGCGTTTGGATACAGTTTTGACCACGACTGATATTTTAACCTAGCCTTAGTCCATCTCTCTCGTACAGGTAAAAATGTCAAAAACTTGAATTTCGGGTATGGGTGGCCTGGAACCCAGGCTGTTGCTATGGTGACTGATCTATATACATAATTTTGAAGACCAGCTACAATGCTATAAGACTACTAACTTTGGTTGAAATTGGTTCATTTTAAGTCTAGGCTGGCCAAGTATTGAGGATTTGATCATAGTGGCACTTTACATTGTAAAAAACCACTGAGAACACAATGAATCCTGGCTGTGACCATTCTCAGCCATGAATCCACTTTTTGATTAAATAT